ACGAATGGGAACCCAGTTGATTAGCCCCTTTCATCAGGGGGTGTCCCATTTGGGCGTGCCGATTTTGAGGCCCCCTTGTTCGTGGTTTACAAGGGAAGCCACTTTGGGTGTCCCCTAAAGAAAGACGCACCCGATTCCCGAATTGAAAAGCACCCCCTATTGATCCACCAGGTTGATTGATCAGGGGTGGACGTCAAGAATCACCTAGGGGTTATATGGGGCCTCTTGTGTTGTTTGGTGATTCCTTTTTTCCCAGTTACTTATCTGTCGTGGATGGTACATATGTCTCATGTTTTATAAAGTCTATTTTCAGGTTTGGTGACTACTTTTTGTCATGGCAACCCAAAGGATGGCAGCTTGCAACCAGGTCCTTACGTCAGAAACGAATCAGTCAAAACAAAGGTATCATGGATTTTCAACCCCCCCCCCCCCCTCCCACCCTGGACGAAACCAGGGTTGTTGGGGCCGGGCAACAATTGAAAGAGCTCAAACCAAAGAACTTGCTAAAAAAAGAGAGGTCCCGTGGTAGGGAATCCCCACCCGCTTTCAACACTGAATTGGTGGAGTGGAGCCCCTGGAATTTCACGTTTAGTTCCAATTTCCTCTTTGTGCAAATTGGGAACCCCACCCCACTCCCCTACTCAAAGAAGGCAATCAGCAGGGAGTCCAGCCAGGCTACATGTGTTTGAACAACCACCCCGCTGGTCCCTTTAGAGGGAAGCCAAACGGAGTTTGTTCCTTTAGCAGGTGTAGATTGATTATGTTAAGGAGTTGGCCCACCGGTTCTACCAGACCTACATTTGCCGCTTTTCTGGCCCAAAACCGCGGGTAGACTGTTTTACAGGGTTTCCTCCATTTCCCTTTTGGAACCTCCAAAAATCGCGATTGTTTCAATGGACACCAGTAAATTGCAACTGTTGAAGGGAAATCCAGCCGCACGAAGTTTTCTTTTTCGTCCGATCCTCTAAGATAGTCTAACCGGGAATGGCTTAGCCCAAACCTGGACTGCTTTTTTTAGCCACCATCCCCGTGTTTGGTGTGAACGATGATTGAAACCAACCCTTTCTAAATATATGCCCATCCATGTAGGCTAGGTAGCCAACATGTTCGCCCATGAGGGTAAATGCCAGGCAACTTGGTGCGCTCCAGCCATCCGGTGCCTTAGATGTTTAGCTCTTTAGTGTTAGTGGTTACCGGATTCCATTTAACCCGCAAGCTAAACTTTGATTTCTCTCTCTTTGAGGGTACCCCTGCCGTGTTTGGGTGTTTTTTAGGTGGTTTCCCATGTGGCTGTGGGTCAAAACCGATTGGATCCCATTTTGGTCCCATTTTACACGAGTACTGGACTTGGCGTTTGACCCATGGCCATGTTTCGCCCACGGCCCTCGTGAGGCGCTCTTTGCTCGCCCCTCTGGTGGCCGTTGGCGCTGTGCAGCTTTTCTCGCTGCAGACCGCCATGAGGCTCTAGCGCGAATTCGAGCAAACTCCTCGTTGTTGTTATTGGTTCGGTTTTCTTGGGTTGGTTTCCCTGGTTTGCCTGGTTTCAGGCTTGGTTTCCTTGGTTTGATTGTTTCCTGGTTTGGGTTTCTTGGTTTGGTTCCCCTTGGTTTGTTGATTCCTTGCTTTGCGATCTGTTTGGTTTCCTCGGGTTTCGTTTCCTTTGGTTTCCCTTCACGGGCCAACAAGCTCCTTGTTCTCATATTTTTCGCAGATTCTGATTTTTGCAGATGCGTGCGTTCCTCCGGGCCCGCTGGCGGTTTTGGAGGGAGCTGGCCATACCCGGAGATTCGTGGGTCATGCTGTGGCGGCATGCTTCAAAACGCGTTCCGATGTGTTTGTTCAACTGGAAAGAACATGGTTCAGCAAATCCTGATCCTACTGACTGTTTTGTGTTTAATGTAAACACAAGTTTTGGCCACAGTTTGCTCAAGCAAGTCTTCCGAACTGTTGTGATTTGCAATTGGAACCCAACATGAGCATGCACTTCCGCCCAACCTTCGCAACCTCCAAACGCCCCGTTTGGGGCCAGCTCCTCCGGATTTCGACGCAGGCTCCCGAAGGGCAAGCAGATGGAGGCACCGTCTGCCTGGCAGATGGTTGCCTGGCAGATGACCGGAAATGGGATACACAGGCGGTCCAACCGAAGGTTCCCCCCACCCCATCACAGGTGCCACAGGGGCGTCCTGCAAGAGGATTTTTGTTTCTTCAGGTACGGTAGCCTCCACAAATGCTACGTTGGGCGGAAGGGAAATCCTGGGATTTTTGGACCCAGGATAAAATGGGATTGGTCCCATTGGAGAGGCGATCCTTCATGTTTTTGGATGAAACAAAGCGGCCAGATTGATTAATGCGGGGTTAACCACTGACCAGCGACTTTTGCAGGTCCAGGATGACCAAATGCGTGTCCCTTGTCACATCTCCAGGGCCAGTTTGGCAATTTGGTTGAGGCATGATGCAGGAACTGATGGGAAAAGAAAGCGCTGTGCAAAAAGAGATGCGA